ATAAAATAAAAAAATGTAAAATATGATATCATATACATAAAATATGGAGGGGAAATAAAAATTTAGTGCTTTTAGAATGTTTTCAACCCTAAGACATCAACTTAATACAGACCACTATACAATAAGGTGATATATACCAGTCTGTTAGTAACCCAAAATCAAAACCTGTAATAAATACACAAAAAATATAGCAAAGAAATCCAAACATAACACTGAAGAAAGCCATCAAACCACAAGGGAAGAGAGCAAGAGAAGAAGAAAGGAATAGAGAACTATAAAAACTGAAAAATAATGAACAAAATAGCAATAAATACATACCTATCAATAATTACTTTAAATGTATATGGACTAAATCCTCTAGTTAAAAGACATAGGGTGACTGAATGGATTATAAAAAAACAACAAGATCCAACTATATGTTGCCTATAAGAGACTCACTTCAGATCTAAAGACACATACAGGGGTGCCTGGGTGGCTCAGTGGGTTAAAGCCTCTGCCTTCGGCTCCGGTCATGATCCCCGGGTCCTGGGATCGAGCCCCACATCGGGCTCTCTGTTCGGCAGGGAGCCTGTTTCCTCCTCTCTCTCTCTCTCTGCCTGCCTCTGCCTACTTGTGATCTCTATCTGCCAAATAAATAAAATCTTAAAAAAAAAAGATTTAAAGACACATACAGACTGAAGGTAAAGGGCAATAAAACCATACACCATTCAAATGGAAGTGAAAGAAAAACGTGTCAGGGTAGCAATACTTATATTAGACAAAAAAGACTTTGTAAAACAAAGACTGTAACCAATGACAAAGAAGGGCACTACATAAAGATAAATGGAAAAATCCAACAAGCCGATACAACAACTGTAAATAGCTATGCACCCAAAATAGGAGCACCCAAACACATAGAGCAATTATTAATAAACAAAAAGGGAGAAACTGACTTTAATACTGTAATAGCAGAAGATTTTTACACCTGACGTACATAAATGGATAGATCATCTAGACAGAAAATCAACAAGGAAATGGTGCCTCGAACAACACAATAGACCAGAGAACCTTACAGATATATCCCATCCAAGAACATTCTATCCCAAAATAGCAGAATACACATTATTTTCAAGGACACATAAAACATTCTTCAAGACAGATCATATGTTAGGCCACAAAACAAATCCCAGTAAGTTTAAGAGTGAAATCATAATGAGCATCTTTTTTGACCACAACAGTATAAAACTAGAATTCAATTATAGTAAAATATGTGGAAAGAACACAAATATATGGAGGCTAAACAACATCCTACGAAATGATGACTGAGTCAACCAACAGTTCAAAATCCTGGGGATGCAACAAAAGCAGTACTAAGTGGCTTATAGTAATGCAGGCCTACCTCAAGAAACAAGAAAAATTTCAAAAAAACCAAACTAACCATACACCTAAAACGGAAAAAGTAGAACAAACAAAACCGAGAGCTAGAAGGAAGGAAAGAATAAAAATTAGAGCAGAAATTAAAATAGAGGCTTAAAAAAATTAGAAGAGATCAACAAAAATAAGAGCTAATACTCTAAAAAAATAAAACTGATAAACCTTTAGCCAGATTCATAAAAAAAAAAAAAAGACTAAGATAAAATCAGAAATGGAGAAAAAAATACCACAGAACTACAAAGAATTATAAGAGATTATTATGAAAAATTATATGCCAAAAAATTGGGCAACTTAGAAGGAGTGGACAAATTCTTAGAGAACATATACTCTTCCATAACTGAATCAGGAAGATATAGAAAATTTGGACAGACACATAACACAGACATAACAGACATAACACAACTGAAGCAGTAATAAAAAAAAGTCAACAATGAACAAAAGTCCAGGACCAGATAGATGTCTCTACAAGTGAATGAACTCTACCAAACATTTCAAGAAGAGTTAATACTTAGTCTTCTTAAATCATTCCAAAAAACAGAAGAGGAACGAAAACTTCCACATTCATTCTATAAGGCCAATGTTACCGTGATACCAAAAGCAGTTGAAGACACTACAAAAAAAGAAAACTACAGGCTATTATCTCTGATGAACAAAGATGCAAAAATCCTCACAAAGTATTAGCAAACCAAATTCAACAATACATTTGAAAAAATTCACCTCAATCAAGTAGGACTTATTCCAGAAATGGCAAGGGTAGTTCAATATTTGCAAGTCAGTACAATACAGCACGTTAATAAGCTATAGGATACAAACCATATGATCATCCCAATAAATGCGGAAAAAGCACTTGACAAAATAAATCCATTCACGGTAAAAGGTCTCAACAAAGTGAGTTTAGAGGGAACATACCTCAACATAATAAAGGTCATATATGAAAAACTCACAGCTAACATCATGGTGAAAAACAGAGCTTTTTCTCTACGATCAGGAACATGAGGATGTCCACTCTCATCTCTTTTATTCAACATAGTCCTGGAAATCCTAGGTGCAGTAATCAGACAAGTAAAAGAAATAAAAAGCATCCAAAATGGTATGGAAGAAGTAAAACTGTCACTATTTACAGATGACATGACATTATATATGGAAAAACCTAAAGGTTGCACCAAAAACTATCAAAACTAGCATGGAGGACATGGGGAGTTAGGAGAAGGGAGTTGGGGGAAATTGGAAGGGGAGGTGAACAATGAGAGACTATGGACTCTGAAAAACAATCTGAAGGGTTCGAAGAGGTGGGGGGGGAGGGAGGTGGGGGGAACCAGGTGGTGGGTATTAGAGAGGGCACGGACTGCATGGAGCACTGGGTGTGGTACAAAAACAATGAATACTGTTATGCTGAAAATAAATTAAAAAAATGATTAAAAAAAACTATCAGAACTGATAAATGAATTCAGTAAAGTAGCAGGATACAAAATTAATATATAGAAATCTATTGCATTTCTATATACTAATACCACAGTAGCAGAAAGAAATCAAGAAACACCAAAGAGAATAACATACCTAGGAATAAACTTAACAAGGAGGTGAACGCCTGTACTCTGAAAACTATGAAACAGTGATGAAAGAAATTGAAGAGGACACAAATAGAAAGAGTCTATGTTCACGGATTGGAAGAACCAACATTGTTAAAATGTCCATACTACCCAAAGCAATCTATAGATTCAATGCAATCCCTATCAAAATACCAGCACTATTTCATAGAACTAGAATAATTAATACTAAAATTTGTATGGACCCACAAAAGACCCCAATAGCCAGGGCAATCTTGAGAAAGAAGAATAAAGCTGGAGGTATCACAATCCCAGATTTCAAGGTATACTACAAAGCTACGACAATCAAAATATTATGGTACTGGCACAAAAACAGACACGTAGGTTAAGAGAACAGTATAGAGAACCTAGAAACAAATCCACCATTATACATTCAACTAATCTTTGACAAAGGAGGCAAGAACATACAATGGGGAAAAGACAGTCTCTTCAATGGTGCTGGAAAAACCAGACAGCTACATGCTAAAGAATTAAACTCAACAACTCAAATACAAAAACAAACTTAAAATGCATTAAAGACCTAAATGTGAGACCAAAACCAAAAAACTCCTAGAAGATAACATAGGCAAGTAATCTCTCTGACATCGCCATAGCAGTATGTTTCTGGCTATGTCTCCAGAGGCAAAGGGAAACAAAAGTAGAAATAAACTATTGGGACTATACCAAAATAAAAAGCTTTTGCAAGCAAAAGAAACCATCAATGAAACAAAAAGACAACCTACTGAAATGGGTAGAATCAAAAAGACATGAAATAACAAATATCGGTAAGGATGTGGAGGATAAGGAACCCTTGTGCACTGCTGGTAGAAATGTAAATTGACCAACCACTGTGGAAAGCACTTTGGACGTTTCTCAAAAAATTAAAAATAGAAATACCATATGATTCAATAATCCCACTACTGGGTATTTACCCACAAAACACACAAAAAAATAATTTGAAAAGATATACGCACCCCTATTTATAGCAGCATTATTTACAACAGTCAGGATATGGAAGCAATCCAAGTGTCCATTTATAGATGAATGGATAAAGAAGACGTGGGATGTATCTCTCTCTCATACACACACACACAGAGGAATATTACTCAGCCATAAAAAAGAATGAGATCTTGACTTCAGCAGTAACATGGATGGACCCAGAGTGTATATGCTAAGTGAAATATATCAGAGAAAGACAAATACCATGATTTCAATTATAAATGGAATCTAAAAAACAAAACAAATGAACAAACAAGACACAAAGAAATGAATAAACCTAAAACCAGACTTAACTAGAGAACAAACTCGTGGTTGCCAGAGGGAAAGTGGATGAGAAGATGGGTAAAATAAATAACATTAAGAGGTATAAACTTCTAGTTACAAAGTAAGTCATAAAGGTGAAAACTACAATATAGGGAATAAATTGTATATATATTATATGTTATATAATTTATATAATATTGTAATTATACATATGTTACATATTGAATACTGTATTAATATCGTATGAGGACAGTGACCACACTTAAGGTGTGAGCACTGAGTAATGTATAAAACTGCTGTATCAACATGTTGCACACCTGAAACTAATATAACACTGGATGTTAAATTGTACTTCGATTAAAAAGGTGGAAAAAAATTCACAATAAAAAATGTTTGACGTAACTTGATTTAGAGGTCTATTAAGAAATCACGAACAAATACTGATTTCTCTTTTTGAGGATTAGGTGACCATATAATTTATCTTCCATACTGGAAAACTTTGAAGAGTCCAAGTGATAATGTTATCACCACCAGGGCAACATGAATAAACCTAGCCAGACATTTGGTCACTATTAAGAGGAGAAAAATTAGGACAAGAACTATTCACATATTGTGATTTTTCTTGCTCTGGAGAGATAAAAAGTATAGTTTGCATATAAATGAAAATCAAATTCTAGAGATAATTTCCTAGGACTCATCACCAGATGAACAAAGATTTACAAATAAACAGAAACTTACCTCTGGTTTAGGGACAAAAGCCTGACCCGGAATTGTCAAGATGTGCTGAACACTGCAGAGGTACTGCGCCATAACAGAAAGGCGACTACGCTGTTTGCTTCCTGTATTGGCTGTCAGTCTCTACAGAAGGACAAAAGGAATTTTGGCGATTAATCCAGTCTGATCAGATAGAATGCACCCAATATTCTATTATCTACGGACACTAGGTGGAGTTTTGAGATAAACTTTAAAAGCACAGGCTTTCTGATACATGATACATAAACAGCACGGAGAACGTTTTCCTCCAATATCAACTGAAGTACACTTAAGAAGTGTGAATTATATCCTATATAATGCACTCAGAAACCAAGTAAGAAAACTTCCCTACCATTGGAGGTTGGGGATTTTAAACCCCTGTTATATCGGATGAGAGAAGAAATTAGCAAGCACAATTAAGAACTAAAGATGTGTATTTCATTTTATGAATTACCAAAAATCTATGAAGGAACCTTTTCAATGGTGCACTTTTCTTTAAATGTAATAAAACTTTGAATATTCAGAACTCTTGGAGAACTGCTTTTGGAGAACTGATTTTTGCAAAAACCAGGAATTCATTCTTTTAAGAACACAAACACTTTAATTTCAAACCACATATATCTAAATTAACTCATAAATGCAATGCAATTTCAACCAAAATCCTGAAAGGATTTCTTTGAAGACCTTTAAATTCCATAACATTTTATATGGAAAAGCCAAGGGCCTGGAATAGCCAGGAAGCTCCCGAAGAACGTCAACAGCATGAGGAGGGCTGAAGCAGACTCACCACGGGAGGTATCCAAAGTAAGGCAGTACGGCATTGCTACCGGCACAGACAAACACACCAACGGAACAAAAGCCTTAACAGACCCAAGCACATATGGATATTTGCTGTGTGACAGATGTGATGTAACTACACTAATGGGAAAAGGATGGACCACTCAGTAAGAGATATTGGTATTAAGTAGGTCTATCTATATAGCAGGAAGAACTCCCTATCTCATACCATAACCAAAAATAAATTCCAAGTGAATTAACAATTAAAAAGCAAAACTTTAAGATTTTTTTCTAAAGTATTTATGACCCCACAGTAGGGCAAAATTTCTGAAAAGATGCAAAAGTGGAAGCCATAAGAGACTGATATTTTTGCTTTATTAAAATTTAAAATGTCCATATTAAAAAAAAAAAGTACAAACGTATGTCACAGACTGAGAGAAGGTATTTCAAACTCCTATCTGACAAGGGATTAGTGTTCAGAACATGGAAGAAACCCCTACACGTTAATTGCCAAAAAATAAACAATAGAAAATCTGATAAGAAATAGGATAAAAGCACCCAAATGACCCATAACCATAAACTATCCTCAACCACGTTACAAATTAGGGACATGCAAATTTAAACTCTAATGAGATAATCTCCTATCCATGAAATGAACAAAATTTAAACAATAAAAAAGAACCTGGCAGAACCTAGAACTGGTGAATAATACAGAGCCAGAGGAACTCCCATTTACCACTAGTGAGAAGGGCAACTGGTACAAGCACTTTGGACTACAATTTGGCAAGATATACAGGAAAGTTGAAGTTGAGTGCACCGTCATAACTTTAAATCTACCTTTAGGAATATATTCTAGGGAACAGTTTATATACCTATACAAGAAAATACTGTGTAAGAACGATCACCACAACACTGTGCATGCATAGTTTCCAAAAAGGTAGAAAACATAAAGGCCATCAACAGGAATAAGTAAATGGTGTTATTAACATAGATAGACAAATAGAAAATGATGAAGTGGCAGAAAATATGTAGACCAAGATTTCATTTATATATAAAAACTTCAAAACATTATTTCTATGGCTTCCTCTGTGTGTGTGCATTTATCTATCAATGCATGGGAATGATGAGTATCAGTTTTAAGAGTATACTCATAGGAGAGAAAGAAAGGGGATAGAAGGGGGTACCACGCATATCTACTACATTTTATTTCTTAAAAAAGACAAAAATATGGCAATATGTTAAAATTGGATTAAAAAATTAGATGCACTGATTTCTTAAAAAAATGTATCCTGCTTCTCTTGTGTTCTTAGAATTCACTGGGTATTCTAAACCTCTTATAAATGATACAGGGTCAACATTACAAACATTATACACCACATAATTTGGCTTATAAGAGCTTTGCCTTAAGTAAGATTAAAAAGATAGGTTTTAAACTGCGATGCTCAGAATATTTCCTATGGGCAAAGCTGTAGTTTTGTAACATTTATTTTGCTACTCAGAAGCCATCTCTCCATCTCATCCCTCTTTTCAAATTACCTGGCTCTTATCTATATTTAGACATCTAAAATTATTGGGAGGCTGAGTTCGGGACAAGTGATTGCTTTAGTATAAATGACAGAGTAAATTCTTCTTTACTAAACTGTAAAACCAAGAAACATATATATTCCCAAACAAAAATCAAAACAAACAGTGGAAACATATTTAAAGAATAAACTTATGGATCAAATGCTAAAAAATATTTCTAGCTCTATATAAATTTTTTTGGAGCTTAACTGTACCACTGGTATGAAAGTAAAAAATTCAAAATGCATTGTACAACTGGCATACTTCAAAGCAGCTGTGTATAACTAAGACCTGCATGAACATAATCACAAAATTAAAATAAAAACCAAAAAAAGTCTGCACTTGAAAAGTATTATTTCATGCCGAATTCTCTTTCAATATTCTACTTTACATCTCAAAGGTGTTTTCACTGATGAATTCAGTGAAATTTTAAAAACCACTTTAACCCAAAAGCAAACAAGGGAGGCCATGCAGGGTAAACACTCTGGACACAATTTCACTTTGAGCGCTGGCATCCGTTCCCGCCAGGGAAGCCTGACCCATCCAAACTCTGCACAAACGCACCCAGGCTGTGGAGATGAAAATGTGTGAATCATAACTGAAGTTAGGTGAAAGCAGCACACACATAATCATCCTGAACTCACTGCAGAATAATTCAAGCCACAGAGCAGAAAGCTCTGCAGAAGACTTCATTAAAAACTAACACAAGAGTTAAACAGTCAATCAACCATTCAAACATGAGTTAATATTTGTGATAGTTAGGGTGTATGTAAAGCTACGAAAATTCAAACTCCATGACAAGATAGAGGATTTTAACAAACAACAAAAGGCCAGGAAACCAAACCAGTTAATTTTTCAGTAAAAGGAAACTTCTAACCCTTGAGATTTTAAAAGCATTCTGACTGAGTATAAGAAAAACAAAGGGTCAAAGACTCCACAAGGACAGTGTTATTTTCATCCTTATTCTTCTAAAATAATTTTAACTACAAGTAGAAAAATTAGGCTTATTCTTGAGAAGCCACACAACCAAATATCAGGGACAATGAAAACTATATAAATTACTGGCAAGGTGACTCCCCCCCTCCCTGTTACAGATGTGACCATTAAATAGCCAAGGTCCGTTGAAGATGGGAGGACATAAACAGGCTAATCCTGGACCCAGAAAGAAAATACCAAAGGTCCAGTCACCTAAAGAACTTGAACATCGTGACTTCAGCAGAAAACCTATGACCTGTTCTCAAGTTCAGCTTTCCCTGTAACTAGCCCCATGACCTTCTGGAAAACATTAAACTGCTCTGAGCCTCAGTTTCATCATCCATAAAATGAGGTTAGATGAGATTTGTTAAGGTCTCATTTCTTGCTACACACTGCGATTCTATTTTATGAGCTGTAACTTTATACCGTCTATATGTTCTTTAGTGTGTGTGAGCTGAATTCTTCTATTTAGACCCTGTAGACCTGGAGAGAATGGAAGGAGATCGTGTTCATTTACTTCTGTTCTATAACTCACAAAGCAAAGTGAATGTTTAAGAATGCTATCTGTGGAATGTAAAATTACAAATACGTTAAGTGTCAAGAGTAAACAAAGGTTATATAAGAAAATGCTACTATATATTATCCTGTTGAAACTTTCACTTGCAAAATATGAAAACTGGTCGGAGGACCAGTGTTAACTTCTAAAGCATTCCATAAATTATACACTCAATATAAACTCTTCTCAATATTCATACTAGAATTTAACTAAAATCAAAATTTTTTTTTTTTTGGCTAAAGAAAAATAACTGCATATGGTGGAGTTAAAGTAACACTATTATTAATAACCACAACTGACATTCTGAGTCACTGAAAATATTACTCCACCTCTTCAGCCTGTTCCTTTGCATTTTCCCCCAAAAGAATTAGACTACATAGTGTTTTGCATCTCTATTGTGTTACTCAAGAATAGAAATACCATAATTATGTAATCTGAGAAAATAAACGTCCAAGGACAAATCAAAAGGCTGAGAAAATAACAAAGAAAACTAACATGGGCTCAACTCAAACATACAGAAGACAGTTAACAGATTCATGAGCGGGGAATGACACTGACCCTGGGAAAGTGGTGGTGATACAGCATCTTAACAAACATAAAAGGGTCCTACATTTTTATGATGGAAATTATTTTTTTAAATTTTTAAAAAAAATTTTTATTTACTTGACAGAGAGAGACACAGCGAGAGAGGGAACACAAGCAGGGGAGTGGGAGAGGGAGAAGCAGACTTCCTGCCGAGCAGGGAGCCTGATGCTGGGCTCCATCCCAGTACCCTGGGATCATGACCTGAGCCGAAGGCAGATGCTAACAACTGAGCCACCCAGGCGCCCCATGTGATGGAAAATTTTAAGACTACTAAGAAAAAGATTTTATGGCTAAATACTCTAAAGCAAAGTTTCTTATCCTTGGCATTACTGACATTTTGGGCTGGTAAATGTGGAGTATTTTTCTGCTGAGGGGGGCTATCTTGTGTACTGAAGGATGTTTACCAGCATCCCTAACCTTAATCCACTAGACACCAAAAGCACCCCTCAGTTGTGACAACCAAAAATATTTCCAGACAGGCAGGAGGTAAGAGTATAGCTAAGTAGGAGGACCCTGAGCAGACCTCCTCCCCCGCACACACAACAGCTGCAGCTACATATGGAGGAACTCTCCCAAAGAATGACCTGAAGACTTTCAGAACAGCTCTTAGATAGCTGTAAGTATGAAGACAAAGCCACAACAAGAAGGG